AGGAAGGTCCTGCACACATCCACCATGGAAAGCAGTTGAAAGAGTAAGGGAAGAAATCATCTTAGAAATGTGATGTCTAATGATGCATTTTAGAACCTGCTACACTCCCCTTCTTCTTAGGTGTCAATTATGAATCCTTTCGCATTCACAGCCTACAGGATCATACTCTGTTATGCGAGCACAAAGACTCAACAGCACCCAAAGATTCGGCATAATCCCCTTAAGGACAGAGCGGCATACAGCTATGCAAGCAAATTAGCAAATTCTCTCACCCCCAACGATAAGGACATGCTGCCCTCAGGACACACATTCAGTCATCAACTTTCAAACAAACTCCAACCAATGGAAAACACACACACACACACACACCCAAGTCCACCACTTTTCTCAGGGGTATTGCTAACTCTGGGCGACGTGGTGAGGTCTTATCCATCAGTCAAATACTTCCTGGGCAGACTGTCTTTCAGATTTCAACCTCTTGATAATTCGGTGAAAGTGCAACGAAACAGTCTGGCCGCTTTTTTGTGGAGTTTGACAAAACACACACACACACACACAAGTCCACCACTTTTCTCAGGGGTATTGCTAACTCTGGGCAACGTGGTGAGGTCGTATCCATCAGTCAAATACTTCCTGCCAGACTGTCTTTCAGAGTTCAACCTCCTGATGAATCGGTGAAAGTGCAACGAAACAGTCTGGCCGCTTTTTTGTGGAGTTCGACAACACACACACACACACACACACACACACACACACACACACACACACACACACACACACACACACACACACACACACCTGCAAAAAGTATCCACTACCTTACCAGACCACTCTCATACTGAAGGTCAGCTCAGGTTTACCTCTCCCATCTTAATCCGCTAAATCCCAGACGCAGACATTTCAACCATTGGCATAACTGAAATCATGGACCTGTGGGAAGAAAGATAGATAAATCAACAAGGCACCCATTCAACATCCCCAGCCATCTACACTACCTACCATCCCCATCCCCCTTTTCTCGTCCTCCCTCCCTCGCTTCCTACTTACATCAACAACCAAAGAGCCAGTGACAGTTGCCCTAGCATGATCAATATAATAGTTTTCTTTTTTCCTTCCTTTTTCAGATCCTGACTGCGAACCTCGCCAGAACAGATACATCAATTCAAAAAGCTTTTGATGAACTGAAACCCTCAGCCCTCCTCTCCCCCTCCCCTCCCCTCCTCCCCCTATGCCCCGATTTGCTGACGCCTGCAAACTAATTTAATTGACCCAATTCAGCCCTCCTCTCCCCCTCCCCTCCCCTCCTCCCCCTATGCCCCGATTTGCTGACGCCTGCAAAATCATGGCCTCAAATCTCCACTCGTCAGTAGGTCATATTTTCCATTATCTATACTATCCTATGGAGGACATCAAACCACACCTCCCTCAATGATTCAACCACTACCGTCTTCACCCAAATAGATCGCAGGGTCATACAATTGGCCTGGGTCAAGTTGGTACACCCATGAACTGTTGAAATACAGACCTGAGTTTGAATCTAGATGGAATCAGAGATTATCAGACAAGTAAAAGTAAACATTAAGTCTGAATTTACGTGGGGCCGGTCATCTCAAAGATGATACCTCAAGTCTGTCGCCCTCTTAAAAGAAGAACGCCAGGTCATTATTTTGCTGTACGCAGACTAAAAGCTGCCCAAAATAAGGGTATAGACGGTAGGTATCAATTAATCTGTCCACCATCACTGATGCTCACCGAGTCCAGACTCTATGAAACGATGCCTTGTACATTGATGAATTACCCTGTTCACAATACTACTGATGCTCACAGTAAGTCCACACTCTGTGAATCAATGCCTCGTACACTGAACCTCCAACATAATCCGGTTAAGATAAGAGGCCAAAGCCACAAAGTTTCAGTACCATGGGTAGACCATCGAGGAGGAAAACAACGATAACTGTCCCGAGACCTCCTCCATATCCCACACAATGACGGTATTTTTTTTAACTCTGATTTTATGTTAAGTTCGTTAACCCACAAGCGCCACGTGCTCTTGGCCCATGCTTCCAAGCACAATGAAGTGATCGCATCCACCACAACAGAAGGGAGGGAATTCCATCCAAAACCAGGAGTCCCTGCATACTGAAAACCAAAATGGAGAAAAGGTGAGTGCCTCTGCCAGCCCTCTCCCCTCTTGAGATTGGTAGACACCTTGCTCCCACTCCTGCTGCTGCTGCTGCTGATAGACCTTGTGAGCACCTCTGACTTCACTCTCTCCTTTCCCTTTTCCCTTTTCCCCTTTTCCCCTTTTCCCTTTGCCCTCTTCCCTCTTTCCTCTTCCCTCTTCCCTCTCTCCCCTCTCCCTCTCCCCTCCTGGGAATAATAGGCACCTTACAAAGCTCCCATTGCTGCTGAGACCATGTGAGCACCTCTGCCTTCCCTCTCCACCTCTGCCCTCTTGGGATTAGTACACACCTTTCTCTGCTATCACGGCTGATGCTGCTGCTCCTGTCTTGGGACTTGCCACACAGAACCAAGCACTGTGACCTGGTCATGATTATGGACTTCGAAAAGACCTGCACTCGAGAGTGGTGGGAACCCTTCATTATACACTTCAGTGGCAGAAACCATCAGTCTGCTCTCTCTCTCTCTCTCTCTCTCTCTCTCTCTCTCTCTCTCTCTCTCTCTCTCTCTCTCTCTCTCTCTCTCTCTCTCTCTCTCATGCTGATGACCAAACGGCCTGCCGTCCCCTCTCCTGCCTTTGCTGCTGGTAACGCTGTTGGTGTTGCTGTTTCTTCGCTGTTCTTTCATCAGAAACCACGATCATAAGGTTCGGAACATGACCCACACCAGAGAGCAGCCAGTCAACCCACTCCAAGGAGACGAGTTTGGACTGTGCTGTAATCTCCTTCCTCCCAAACAGGTCGAGATTCTGCTAGCAGGGTGGACAGATGCTGACCTTCAGTCTTTGTTATCTACAGTCAGTACATCTCTTAATCTGTGCTTGCAATCAGACTCATTCTCAAACACACTTTTCATGCATGTAAACAGCAACGCAGCATACTGGCGAAATGCGCCCACTCAAAACTCAGAGAAATGGCTTTCAGATACGAGTTCACTCTCAATTGGCTATGGCGACTTCAGCGCCCAAACATCTCACTGTTCACATACACTGGATCACCCTGGATATCCCACACGCATCACTCTAACACTC